AGCACACGCAATGCCTCACATGTGCTCAGCTTCCAGGCGATGACTCGCCCCTCGTTGTCACCCGACCACATTGTGACACCGACGCGACATACAGCCGAGACACCCGCACGACCATGAAAGTGACCGGTGAGCTGCGTCTCACCACATCCCGCATCCCATACACGTACGGTGCAGTCATCAGAACCGCTCACGACGGCACTCCCCTCCGCGTACAGACAACGAACGTAGTTGGTATGCCCGTGTAACATTCGAACATGTCGCCCGTCTCTCACGTCCCACTGCGCAATTTTAAAGTCACTGCCCCCAGAGTACACGTAGCCACCAAACTCGGCAAGGCAATATACTCCACCAGCATGTTTATTCAGCTGCCGCACCATGGCAAAGGACTGAGCGTTGTACACCTCAACACTGCCGTTCGAAAGGCCCATCCAAACCTGAGGCTCCTTGCCCTGTGTTCCTACCGCAAGCAATGCCCAAATGTCATTGACTGATTTATCTGTTGACGACTCCGTTTTCCATGCATGCACGAGTTCGGCCGTACGCGCATTGCGTACTTCCACCCCGTTCTCGAGTGCCATCCATACATGATGGGCACATGTGGCCATCACTCTGGCGGGCGATGTAGTGGCAAAAATCTTGTCGACCTCACCCAATTCAGCTCTACGCCACAGCCATTTGTCGTGTCGTTTCTGCACCATTGTGTAACACTTGCTTTGCTACAGCACTCCCTGCTGGGCAGTCTTTTGCCTATTTAAAGTGATGAAAAACAAGGAAACGATCCACTGGTACAAAAAAAATAAGTAAGATAAACAGTTTTCACGCCCACAACTACAGATACTGTTCAGTATGCTTCTACTGCCATAAAGTTCATAATGAACAGAAAAAAGTCTATGAAGTGTCTTCACACATTCCAAGTCAATCCCTGGATGCAGAAGAATTGTAGCTTTCTGGTATAAAGATTTCCACATAAAAGTCAAAGAGGAACAAAAACTTTCCTGCTAAAAAAATGTAAATGCACCCACGTAGTCTATGCTGCTGGAGGCGCCGGAACACTTGCTGCTGGGGGCGCCGGAACAGTTGCTGCTGGAGGCGCCGGAACAGTTGCTGCTGGGGGCACAAGAACAGTTGCTGCTGGGGGCGCCGGAACAGTTGCTGCTGGAGGCGCCGGAACAGTCGCTGCTGGGGGCGCTGGTGCATCCGTTTTTTGCGCGGAAGCCGCGGAGACCACTACAGGTGCAAAGTTCGCAGCATTTGCACTCTCTGAGAGCCGTTTCTTCGTACCACCGGCTCGGGCCCGCTGCACCGCGTCTAACGTTCGCTGAAGGGCCCCTCGCATCACCTCCAGGTTCTGTTCCTGTTTGTGTATCTCGGCCTGTATGTGCGAACGCTCTTTCTGTAGTTCTCGTGTCCGCTTTTCGATTTCCTGCATGTTTTTTTGCATCATCCAACAGTTAAGAAGTGTTGAGGTCTTCAATTCTTCGCCAATATTCAGCATACGGCGCACGGCATTGTCCCCCCCCTGGGAGAGAACAGCCAGTTGCGTCAACTCACGCTGCTCACTTAGCAGCTGTTCATTTGATTCGTGGTGCGATCTTACAGTGGAGTAATACCATCGCATATCGTTAAATCGTTCCCGGTCCGATGTCATAGACCAGTGGTCGTCGTGATGAACACACCGCACCGAGTTGTCAGACGCAGCTGCCCAGACACTCTGGCGACCACACTCCAACACGCATTGAACCGCCGTGATACGAGCGCCCCGGTGCTCCTCGATCCGCTGCACCAGCTGACTGTCCTCCGCATCAAACACCGCAATGATGCCGTCAGCCCCACCAGAGTAAACACGGGAGCCGATCTTTCGCAGGGAGACAACGCGACCCCCGTGTGCGTGCAGCACACGCAATGCCTCACATGTGCTCAGCTTCCAGGCGATGACTCGCCCCTCGTTGTCACCCGACCACATTGTGACACCGACGCGACATACAGCCGAGACACCCGCACGACCATGAAAGTGACCGGTGAGCTGCGTCTCACCACATCCCGCATCCCATACACGTACGGTGCAGTCATCAGAACCGCTCACGACGGCACTCCCCTCCGCGTACAGACAACGAACGTAGTTGGTATGCCCGTGTAACATTCGAACATGTCGCCCGTCTCTCACATCCCACTGCGCAATTTTAAAGTCACTGC